TCCTTTACTACATCCCCTAATTTTTTCTGGAGTATCTAAATGCAAATCATATCATTTCACTCACAAACCCTTTAATATGTCTGGCAAATAAAGATCTCCATTTGAAATAACTTCACTCTCTTTACCACATCCAACCACATGAACAAAATTACTTAATATCTAATACCCAATCCATGTTCAATTTTTCATGACTTCCTTAAAATATCTATTCAGTTATCTGTTCAAGGCTGGACCCAAGAACATTCCACACTTAGAATCTGGTTGTTATGTTTGAACTATGTAAATTCTTCATTTCTTTCCCTGCTTACAATCACGCTAATTTATTGAAGAAATTTAGTTATTTGTCCTGTAGAATTTTCCACATTCTGATTTGGCCAATTGTGATCTTCACTATACCACTTAAAGGGTTTTTAAATTCATTTTATTTCCTATCAACTGACAATTAGATCAAGAGGCTAAAGTAATTCAGGTTCAATGTTGGGAAATATATCTTAAGTAGTACTTTCTACTTTCTATGGCATCATATTAGGAGGCATATTAATACCATATTGTTCTAATTTACTTTTGCTAAGATTGGCCAACTAGTTAAGGTGTTGTCAACCTGATTGTTACCTTCTGAAATTCCCAGTCACCCATTTATTATGGATTGTTGCTAAATCCATTATTTTATTAAAGGATGCCAAATTTAACTTTCTAAGTCTGTCATTCTTTCTGAATATATTAGCTAATTATTTTATAATAAAATTTCCTCTATTTGATTATAGTCTATACAGAATAATCATGATAAATGCTTGGCTCTGTGTCTTATTGAAATTTCAGAATGAACTACTACTCTGGCAAACCCCATAAAGGGATCTACCACATTTTTTCATTTTGAATTTAGGAAGGTTTACCTACAATCATGGTTTCAATCCAGTGCAATAGTTTTTGATGCTTAAATTATCCTGTTTTTGGTCAGTTCCTTTTGGTTGATGATCCTATGGTCTTTGATAGCTTTGTTGCTTTTAGGCACAATAAGATATTTTATGGTAACCATATATACATTTCCTACCCTTGACCTATCTTACATCATTTCTTCAAGGAGCCCTTGCTTTTTCTTCTTCTTTTTTTTTTTCAATAGAAAACAGAATTTGAAAACTACAGTCTGGATAGTTGGGGAGCTCACTGCTTCTGTGTCATGAAAGCTTTTGAATCCTTTGGCAGACAGAGGTAAGAAATACATACTTCCGATTCAAATGAAAAATTAAGGTTATTTTACTTCTTTATGTTTTTCTTTCGAAAAAAAAATTCCTCATGAAATTAAGTTATGTAATTAATTTTGGACTCACCTAAAATACCAATATTACTATTAACAAGACTAGGAAAGGCTATAACATTATGTGGAATCAAATTCTTTGTTTTTGATATATAGGTTTTCTATTTCCCTTTGACTTCATTTTTTAAAAAAGATTTTATTTTAGAGAGGAAGAGTGCATGAGTTGGGGGAGGGTGGTGGTAAGGGCAGAGAGAGAATCTCAAGCAGACTCCCCACTGAGTGTGGAGCCTGACACAGGGCATGATCTCATAACCCTGAGATCATGACCTGAGCTGACATCAAGAGTGGGACACTTAACCCAACTGAGCCAACTGCCCCTGACTTAATTTTAAAAATAAAATATCTACATGGGTCTGAAGTCAAAATAGAAATCAAGGTATAACCAAAGATAACTATCTTTCATCCTTGCCCTCTCCGAACTGTTGTTTCATCTTGAGATTTCTTGTTGAAAGTACAGACATATACTCTATTCCTCTCTTCTTTCACAAATATTAGCATAATATACATATAATTCTGAACTTACCTATTTTTCATTTAACATATCCTGAAGATCACTCCCTAGAACAGAGGTACACAATATCCCACTGTATATTCATATAATTAATTCAGCCAGTCTATTGCTGATCATCTGGGTTGTTTCCAGTTTGCTGCATTTACAAAGTGGTTTTTTTTTTTTATTTTATAAGGATTTTTAAAAAAATTTATTTATTTGACAGAGAGAGAAATCACAAGTAGGCAGAAGTAGGCAGAGAGGAGGCAGAAGCAGGTTGAGCAGGGATCCTGATGTGGGGCTTGATCCCAGGACCCTGGGATCATGACTTGAGCCGAAGGCAGAGGCTTAACCCACTGAGCCATCCAGGCTCCCCACAAATAGTGTTTTTTAAAAATTCCTTTGTGTATACCACATTTTGTAATTTTACCAGTGTATATTTGGGATAGAAGCAAGGGTGCTGGTCTTATGATAAATGCATGAGACTACACGTGGACATTACTTGATTCCCTCCTATATGAATTGTACTTTTTCCCATTTTCACCAGCAATTTGAGAGTCCTTGTTTTTCCAGTCTTGTCAAAGGAGTATATTAATACACTTTTTTTATTTTTGCCCATCTGAGTGGGATGAAGTGGTATCTCAGTGTGTGTTAACTTGCATTCTTATCTCACTTTTTAGAGTCTTTAGGAATATTAGTCTGTGATATAGTTGCAAATATCTCCATTTTGTCATTCTCCTTTAACATTTAGTCCTATAAAATTACTTTTTCCTTCTTTATTTTTCCTGGATTTATTTTAAAAAAGAAAGCTTTATTTATTTGACACATAGAGAGAGACAGCAAGACAGGGAACACAAAGCAGGGGAATTGGGAGAGGGAGACGCAGGCTTCCTGCTGATCAGGGAGCCTGATGCAGGGCTTGATCCCAGAACCCTGGGATCATGACCTGAGATGAAGGCAGACACTTAAGGACTGAGCTACCCAGGTGCCCCTCTCCTGGATTTTTGAGTCATAATAATTGTTGATAACTCCATTCTGGGGCTATAAAGGAATTTACCTATATAGTGCTAATAAAGTTTCTTTTTTTAAAAAATATTTTTTACATTTAGATATCTTGATTTGTTGGGAGTTCATCTCATGTTACACTGCCAGGGATAAATCTATTTAATTTTCTTTCCCATAAATTTTATCCAACTGTGCAAATAGTAATTATTAAAAATTCTTTCCCAAAATGATTCTAGCAGAATGGTTACTGCAAAGAAAGGTGGTTAGGGAAAAACTAAGGAATGTTCTGTCATCTCTAAGGTAGACTAGAGAAGACACTATCAAACTTCACAAACATACCAATGGAAAGGGGTTCAAGAAACATGTACCTGCAGCATTCAGGGAGATCCAGGAATTCACAATGGAGACAGGAGTACCTGATATGTACACAGATACTAAACTCAACACAGAAGTTAAGGTGAAAGGAAAAAGGAAAGCCCCACATTTACTGTATATGGCTGTCCAAAAAGTTATTTTTCTCAATGTATTCATCACCTTAAAAAAATAGTCAGCATGAATGAAAATGGCTGGTTTATTACAAAGTAATTTAACAAAAAATTTTCATTTTTACCATGTGAGTTGAGAAATTCCACAGAAGACAATAATTTTGGAGGGAATTACTGTTCCCTATTTAGTTACTGTTAAAGAACTGAATTATAAATGTGCTAAATACATGTATATAAGCTCAACATTCTTTAACTTATGTAATACTAAAAGGTACCAAGAAGATACTCTTAGAATAAATTAAGTACTGAACTGATAAGGGTACATCTTCATCATTGCTATCTTTCAGTTTTGTGTAAACTACAGAATTATCACCCATCCATATCAGAGTTTAAACATTCTTGGTAAATATCATATGACTACTGTGTTAGGTTTTTTCTATGTATGTTCACGAGTGAAATTATTTTGGGATTTGTTTTTCAAGGGCTACTCCACATCTAATTTTATTATCAGAATATTGTTCATCTTTTAGCATCTGCTCAGAATTTTTCCAAAGGATTTTCTGTCTTTCAGGGGGTAGCCTGTACAATTATCTGTACAATGTTCTTACATGATTTTTGAAGATTATTAAAGATCATTTTTTCCAATTACTATGTTTTTTTTGCCCCTTTCAGTTACTCTTAAAATTTAATCATTTAAAGTGTTTTCCTAGAAAACAAACCATACTCTATTTAAAAGTTGGGTCTCATAAGGTTTATATATATTTATATGACCATGAAAAATATCCTCTAAAACACTTATCAGAATTTTCCTTTCTTATCATAATGTGAAGGCATTGCCAAAGCCTAGTAATAATAGTTTTCTTCAAAGAAACATTTTAACTTAAAATTAAAAAAAAAAAAAACCCTACTTTTTATTGTTCTTTATTCTATGATTTTTGCTTTATTTTCATCAAAACTTTCCATTAATTCAAATGCCCATTGGGGCACTAGCTTGTTTACCTCAGTAATCATTATTTGACAAATATTTGGACTCCACAACATGACAGGCACTGTCGTAAGTGCCGGAGATATAGTGGTGACAAGGAGTAAACTGCCCTTAATTGTTTTAGTTATATATACAGAGTAATTGCCATTGAGAACTGCCATGATCATGTTCATAGGATTTGATATATGAGATTCATTATCATTCACAATAGCCTGTAATTTCACTTTTGATTTGCTTATTACTTTGATAATTATTTATATATGTAGTAATCCATTTCCAAGAGGTCGGAATTCATTTGGCCATTTTCTAATTTCTAAATCTTAATTGTGGTGATAAAATGAATAGGACATTTGGCTTTAGAAATTTGTTAGAGACAGATCACTTCCAAATGCCTTTATTTTTTTTATAAATATTTATTTATTTGTTTGTCAGAGAGATAGAGAGTGCACAAGCAGGCAGAGAGGCAGGCAGAGAGAGAGGGGGAAGCAGGCTCCCTGCTGAGCAAGGAGCCCGATGCGGGACTTGATCCCAGGACCCTGGGATCATGACCTGAGCTGAAGGCAGCAGCTTAACCGACTGAGCCACCCAGGAGTCCCCCAAATGCCTTTAAAAACAAAACAAAAAACATTTCTGAGCATTCGACAACCCCAGTTTTATTAAAACAATAAGGCTTTCTAGTATGGATTTTTTGGTGCAGCAAACGAATACTGATTCAAAGCTTTTTCCCCTTCATTCTATTTTACTGGTTTTTCTTCAGACTTATCCTACCATTCCATAAGACATGTATCTTATTGGCATATTTGTTTATATTCATTATACTGTCAAGGTCTTTCTCATAGAAATGGTCTAATACTAAAATTAATGATGGTCATGATGTCATTTAAGTAGTCAGGCTCATTTAACCCTTATAATCAAATAAATAAGCAAACAGACACAGATTTGAGTTACTTTCCAAAAAATACAGATAAGATGTGTTGGAACTAAGGCATACCAAAGAAGTTGAATGACATAGTCAAGGCTTTCCAAGATTAATTACATAACAGAAATTCACCTTTGGTATAATTTTGTGGAAGTGTAACAAGATTTAAATAGTGATGGAAGGTTGCCCTATGTGAGTTAGATTTAAATTCTATGCAGAATAATATCAATGATGTGGAGAATGTTTTAAAAATGATTCAGAAGAGATTCACAGTGTCATCTTATTCATAGGGTTTTACTCTGATATTCCAAATGGAAAACCATTCAGTAAATGCTTTCCTGTATTAATACAGATTGCATTATGAATTCTCTGCTGTTGAGTGTGTTGTGTACTCTGACAGAGTTTTTCAGTATTACTTACACTTGTGGGGTTTCTCAAAAGAAGCAATTATTGGACATCAAGTAATGAGTCATGAATAAAGACTTTCTTATATTTTTATATCATAAGATTTTATAAGAGTGAAATAAAGTGAGAGCTTGGAGAAAATGATGTCTCAAAATTTTTATATTCATAGGATTTCTCAAAAGTGTAAATATCCTGGTGTTGAGCAAAGTCTGAGTCCTGACTAAAGGTGTTCCCATAGTCTTTCCATTGATAGAGATTATCACCATTGTGAATTTTCTGTTCAGTAAAATATGGATGGTGACCAAAGATCTGTTTACTTTCCTTACATTCATAGGATTCTGTGTCAGTATGAATTTTCTTATGTCTTGTAAGTTGTGAACCCCAGATAAAAGATTTCCCACATTCTTTACATACATAAGGTTCCTCACCAGTATGTATTCTCTGATGTCGAGTAAGTTGTGATCCCCAGAGAAAGGCTTTTCCACATTCTTCACATTCATATGGTCTCTTTCCAGTATGGATTTTCTGATGTCGATTAAGTTCTGAGCCACGAAAAAAGGTCTTTCCACATTCCTTACATTCATAGTTTCTCTCACCAGTATGAATTTTTTGATGTCGATTAAACTCTGAGCCATGAAGGAAGGTCTTTCTACATTCCTTACATTCATAGAGTTTCCTCTCATTATGAATTTTCTCATGTTGAGCAAGATATGAGGCCCAAATAAATGTCTTCCCACATTGCTTACATTCATAAGGTTTCCTACCAGTATGAATTCGTTGATGTCGAGCAAGGTGTGAACTCCAGATATAGGCTTTTCCACATTTCTCACATTCATAGGGTTTCCTGCCTACATGAACATTCTGATGTTGAGCAAGATTTGAACCACGAATAAAGGCTTTTCCACATTCCTTACATTCATGAGATTTCTCACTAGTATGAGTTCTCTGATGTTGAGTCAGGTGTGAGCCACGAGTAAAAGCTTTTCCACACTCCTTACATTCATAAGGCTTTTCACCAGTGTGAATTCTCTGATGTTTAGTAAGATGTGATCGCTGACTAAATGCCTTCCTACATTCATTACATTCATAGGGTTTTTCACCAGTATGAATTCTCTGATGTCGTGTAAGGTCTGAGCCACAACTAAAGGCCTTCCCACATTCCCTACATTCATAAGACTTCTCGCCAGTATGAATACGCTTATGGACACTAAGTTGAGAATGAAATCTAAAGGCCTTCCCACATTCCTTACACTTAAAAGGTTTTTCACCAGTATGAATCCTCCTATGACCAGTAAGACTTGAACGCAAACTAAACGCCTTCCCACATTCTTTACATTCATATGTTTTCTTAGCAGCATGAACTGTCTGATATTGAGTAAATTCTGAGTCAGAAAGAAAGGTTTTATCATATTCCTTATCTTCACAAAATTTCTCCTTAGTTTGAATTACTTGATGTTGAGTACAGTCTGAGTCAGAAGGAAAGGCTTTCCCACATTCTTTAAATTCATTCAGTTTCTTTCCTGTATTCTGTTTGTGATGTACATTAAAAGCTGTGTGATGTTTAAAAGTGGACGTTTTTTCATTGGTGAGTATAACCTGCTTTAAATATTCTTCTTGATTTTCCTGTTGTGTTTCAGACTGATCTTTGCTTTCCCAATCACCCCTAAAACATAAATAGTCAAGGCTGTATTTTTTATAAATTTCCAATTGAGTCAATTCTCTCTCAAAAGTGACAGTTTTTGGTGATAACTTCTTGCTCTGACATCTGGTCTGCATGTCTGAAAGATAAGAAAATAAATTCATACTGTTTTACTGTTCAAAAACAAAAATGTCCAATGTAGTTATAAAAAGTAAATCCTAAAATACATAAGGCATACAAGAAGTGAATGACTTAAGAGATTCTCAAATTCTGGGTAATGTGAAAAAGGGGCAAAAAATAAATAGAAATTTAAGAGAACTAATAAAAGTTGAGGGGGTTATTAGATATATAAAAACTCTGTCTTACTGAAATTCATCTGAGTAGTTCAACTAAAAACATGATTATTAAAGTACCACCCAGTCATGGAATGCCAATGTAAGGATAAGACTGTTTCACTCAGTATGAAATCAACCCTTAGCGTATGTTCGGTATTAAAAAAATAATTATGTAAAAAATATAAGACCAAAAAAAAAAGAAGAAGAAGAAAAGAAATGGGAGGAATTTACGATAGAATAAAGGATCTTACAAAAACCAGGTACTGGGAAGCACAATTGGGATCATTTAATCATATGATTAATGTCACTTCCATCTTTACTGAAATGAATGCATATACTGCTTCCGTATTACTTTCTGTACAGATAGGAGGAATCAAAAGTATATCTAAACTAACTCAAAGACAAATATACAGAAATGTAATCATGCCTACTTAATCATTTTTCAATTTGCCTTTGTACAAGCAAAGACTTCACCCTGCTTATTTCCGCCACAGCACATAGCCAAGTTCAACTGTTACAACTCCACCAAGTTGCTTTTGTCTTAAGAATAGTTGTATTGTTCATCCATTCTGCTTTATGCTTTCAAGCCCTTCCCTAGGTCTCTTCTTCCTTTCCCTTCTATGCAAGGCCACTGAAAATATTATAAAGTATCTACAAATTTTCAAGTACTATGGAAGCTATTATGATGAATGTTTTATATAATTCTGAGCTTAAAAACTGTAGGGGCACCCGGGTGGCTCAGTGAGTTGAAGCCTCTGCCTTCGGCTCAGGTCATGATCCCAGGGTCCAGGGATCAAGCCCCGCATCAGGCTCTCTGCTCAGCGGGAGCCCGCTTCCCCCTTTCTCTCTGCTTGCCTCTCTGCCTACTTGTGACTACTGTCAAATAAATAAATAAAATTTAAAAAAAAAAAAGAACTGTAATGTTGGGAAACAGAATATCAGGTGTAGTGGGAAGTAATCTAGTCTAGAGTTAACAGAGAGTAGGAATTCAGTAACACAGGTATGTTGCCTTTAGATTAAAGGACATAATTATGGGTGATAGTTCAAAAGAAAATAGTTTGAGAAGTTGCCAAGGGCAAAGAGTCTGGCATGAGCTAGGAATAAGTAGGACCACTCTGTAACTCACTTTCTTTTTAAAAGATTTATTTAGTTATTTATTTGACAGACAGAGATCACAAGTAGGCAGAGAGACAGGCAGAGAGGGTGGGGGTTTGGGGGAAGCAGGCTCCCTGCTGAGCAGAGAGCCTGATGTGGGGCTCCATCCCAGGACCCTGGGATCACGACCTGAGCCTAAGGCAGAGGCTTAAGCCACTGGGCCACCCAGGTACCCCTGTGACTCATTTTTGATATGTGCCAGATCCAATGAAATTGTCATGTGGTTATGTTATAAATTCTCTACCAAATCTGTATGGGATATCAAACTTACTGGTAGAATATTTTAGATGAATTAAACAAGAAAATACTACAACTACTATTATTTGAACATACTGAAAGGCTCAGACAATTTTTACTATTCATATTGTACTGATACTAGCATTTGGCTTAGAGACTGACAGACCTTATCTTAGGGCTGAGAAGACAGAGATTAGTATCCAGGGTCTGTCAACAGGGGAGTCCTAAACATTCATCATGTTTAGATACAATGGAAGGGCTATAATCAAGGAATATGGGTAAAACAGAGGTACACCTATACAGGAACTAGAGCTCAGTTTCAAACTATCTCAGTGACTCAGGAGGGTGATGGCTTGAGAAAGCAACCAAAATGTTAATGCCTTCAGGTACCTGGTAGAAGCAAATAATCCTCTATGAAGGAAGGTACCCTAGGCAATAGTTTTACCAGTTTTACCACAGCGTTTTACAAACATTATCTGGCACAAAATTAAATAAATAAATAACCAGATAATATGAATGCAAACAGACTACATTATATATATATAATGTAGTCTGCATATATATGTATATATTGTGTACATATATATGTATATGTATATTGTATACATATGTATGTATATATATGTATATATTGTATATATATGTGTATATAACATAACATGTGTATATAACAGACTACACTATATATACACATTATATATATAATGTAGTCTGTTATATACACATGTTATGTATATAACATACTACATACTATGTAACAGACATTATAGATATAATGTAGTCTATAATATAGTCTATTATATACACGTTATGTAATATACATATATACACATTTGTATATATATTATGTATATATAACATACACACATGTGTGTATGTGTATATATATATATAATATATTTTCAATCTCTATAATTTAGTGATTTCCAAAATGTTCTATAAATGGATTCATTTAGCATGTGACCTTTGGCATTTTTCATTCAGCACAATATCCTGGAGATTCATTCAAGTTGTTTCAGGTATTGGTAGTTCAGAAAAAGAACGATTTTATTTATTTATTTTAAGATTTTATTTATTTACTTGAGAGAGAACATGAGAGGCGAGAAGGTCAGAGAGGGAAGCAGACTCCCCATAGAGCTGGGAGCCTGATGCGGGACTCGATCCTGGGACTCCAGGATTGTGACCTGAGCTGAAGGCAGTTGCTTAACCAACTGAGCCACGCAGGTGCCCCGAAAAGGAACGATTTTAAAACACAAATATAACCTCTGGAATTTAAAAACATGATTCCAATTAGGAAATAAAATTTTTCTTTCCTTGATATTTCAAATAATAAAAACCCCTCCTAAATAAACAATTAACAAATACTGTGGGGGAAAAAAAAAAGTATGTTATTTCAATATGAGTCCTGCCCATAATAGAAAATTCATCAATTAGCCTCAACTTGCCAAATATGTGCCTTATTTCCTTTTGACAGCCAGGACTTGTCTTTTATGACATTGTACTCTCTTTGTTGTCCTCCATTAGCCTTCAACTCTCTTCTGCTGCTTACTATTCACTGTAGCCAGAAGCCATTTTCACCCATTATCCTGATTTTCAACTAAGCAGGCTATCAGGCCCTCTCTTAATGTAGAGCCTATTCTGCCAAAATTTATGGGCATGTTCCAGTCACAGAAGAGAATACAAGTTTCTTTTCTTTTTTTTTTTTTTTTTAAAGATTTTTTATTTATTTATCTGACAGAGAGAGATCACAAGTAGATGGAGAGGCAGGCAGAGAGAGAGAGGGAAGCAGGCTCCCTGCCGAGCAGAGAGCCCGATGTGGGACTCGATCCCAGGACTCTGAGATCATGACCCGAGCCGAAGGCAGCGGCTTAACCCACTGAGCCACCCAGGCGCCCCGAGAATACAAGTTTCTTAATAGATTATATACTCTTTGTTAACCCTTCTGATCCCAAAATGAAATTGGAAAATCGATAAATGTTGGTTAAAAGAACAAATTGGTGAGTGCAGGAAATGCAGAAGCAAGGGAGAATTTAGGCAAAATAAGAAAAATTTAAGATATAGTAAGTAAAATAAAAACAGGGTCAATTTTTTTTTTTTAGGGAGAAATTTATAAATATCTAAATGAAGAAATTTACAAATATCTAAATGAAAAAAAGAGAGAAAGACTGTGTCAAAGCACTGATAAACTGACTACTGGAGAAAAAGAATGACACTTACCTTTTTATAACATGAGGGAAAGAAACTGAAGAGCACTGAATTGGAGTGGTATTTGGAGGTGAAGAGAAGGGCCATTTGGACATGCATGGTGAAGAGGTTACTTTTGACTCTAGGTCTCAGATTGTTATCCACAGGTTTTTAATCCCTAGAGGAGACTCGAGGCCAATATTTCAGAGATGCTGCTGCCTCACTAAACATCTGGGCTCTTATCTACAGTGATGATTTCCCTGTGATAGCTCAGCCCTCACTTACCTGGGCAAGGTCCTCCTGTCTCATCCTTAGAAACCATCCAGGGCTCTTTCCCCTTCTCCAGTAAAGAGAACACATCCGGCTGATAAATGCAAAGTCCTGATCGGAGATAAGAAATAGGAAATAACCATGAGGTAAAGATTTCAAAATTTGCATCTAGTCCCTCAGTTATGAAGGAAGACAGACAATTATAGGAACAGCAAAAAAAAGGCATGAAGTATTTCTAAAGGATGGAGAAGATGGAGGTTCCCATTGATGACTATTACCAAATTTATAAAACATAAACCATTTTCCCAGAAGGAAATCAGAAATTCCCTTAGATCCTTGAAAGACAATTCAAAAATCCACAATGTAGAAATCAGACATTTCTGGGGTCAGGTTCTGAATCTTACCCAGTGAGATCATGTTACTGTAGTTCTCCAACATCACATCTCTGTACAAATGTCTCTGTTCCAAGTCCAGACACTCCCACTCCTCCTGAGAGAAGTCTATGGCCACATCCCTGAACATCATCAACTGCTGAAACAAACAACACAAGCATCATGGTGAAATTTTAAAATCTTTTAGACATAAGGGGGAAGAAATGAAAAGGGCACTGTAGGAAGTATACTCACTGAGCGAAAACTGAAGTTGGCTGCCTGTCATATGGGAGAAATGACATGGAAATTAGTGTGACTGAAGCTGAGTGCCTATATGCTCTTACAGTCTCCAGTTGTTCAGTCACAATATCCTTATGACCTTCCAGTGACAAGCACCAGACAACAGGATGGCAGTCCAGAATTAAGAGTTCTTTGTTGATACCGCTGGGACGCCATGCCAGGCTTACATGACTAACTCTAGATTTATTAGGTGATAAATGCTTCCCCCCTTAGGCTACTTTTTTTTTTTTTTTTAAGATTTTTTATTTATTTATCCCAGGATGTTGGGATCATGACCTGAGCCGAAGGCAGCTGCTTAACCAACTGAGCCACCCAGGCGTCCCCCCTTAGGCTACTTTTAGTTGAATTTTCTGTTAGCTGAAGTTGAAAGAATTCTTAGAAGACACACTTCTTAACTGAATACCATTTTCTGTGGGACTGTATAAAATCACTGGGTTCTAGGATAAGTAGCTGACAATCAGCACATGTCTTATTAATAATATTAATCTCTCTAGGGGCGCCTGGGTGGCTCAGTGGGTTAAGCCTCTGCAATTGGCTTGGGTCGTGATCTCAGGGTCCTGGATCAAGCCCTGCACTGGGCTCTCTGCTTGGCGGGGGGCCTGCTTCCCCCTCTCTCTCTGCCTGCCTCTCTGCCTGCTTGTGATCTCTGTCAAGTAACTAAATAAAAAATAATAATAATATTAACCTCTCATTGATTTCCTGGCAAGATCCCAGATGGCTCTGAACTTAACCTTTCATCAATCCTCTATTTAAAAGCATGATAAAGTGCCAATGAATAAAATGAATACCAACCAACACCAACTCTCACCTCTACTAATTGAAACACCCCATCCTAAAGAATAAATAAAAGCTTTCATGTAGTGTATCCCTTTGTAGTGTATCAGTTCCACCTTGTTAACCCACAGGTTTGAAAAGATAGTCTCTACTATTTCTTCTAAGGGAAAACATTTCTCCTCATTCAGTGCTCTGCCAAAGTATTGGGACACAGGAGGTGCTGAATGCCATGCTGGAGAGAAGAGGGACACCTAGGGAAGGCAGTGGACTGTTTCACGAATATCACTTACCACAATGAATAGTGACTCAAGTAAGCAACTTAAGGATAAAAAATAAAAGTATTCATCCAATGTGATATAAATGATTATAATTTTGGCGAGAGGCAATTCCAACTCACATGGGCCATGATGACTTAAAATTCCAAGAATCAATCAGTCTTCTAGACTCCTCTCCTGGTGAAGTAGAGTCCTGAGAAAGCAGAGCTAGAAGGAAGGAATCATGAGAGGTCAGGTTTTCCTCAAGAGCTTTCAAAGGGACTAAGAATGCCATTTTCTCCCTGAAAAAAGATCAAAGTGAGTCTACAGAAATCCTGGCCCAAACCAAAACCCAAGTGACTCATTCTCCCTCCCTTTTTTTCTCGGTCCTAAGTAACCACTAATTCACTTTCTATCTCTATAGATTTCCCTATTCTGGACTTCCATATGAATGGAATCATACAATATGTGAACTTACTGTGATTAGTGTCTCTCATTTAGCATAAACGAAGGCATTGGCTCTTGTCAGATGCTTTTTCTGTATCTATTAAAATAACCATGTGATATTTGTTTTTTATTCTATTGATATGATATATCCTGATTTTTGGATATTCAGACAACCTTACATTCCTGGGATATATTCTACTTGGTCATGCTGTATAATTCATTTTATATGTTGCTGGATTTGGCTTACTAATATTTTGTTGAGATTTATTGCACTCAAATTCTTATGAGACATGCTTTGTCTGGTTTTGGTATCTGGGTAATACCGGCCTCATCAAGTAAATTAGGATCCTAGCTGTATTCTTTTTTAAAAATTTTTTTTAAAAAGTGAACTAAAAAATAAAAAAAATAAAAAATAAAAAGTGAACTCAATACTCAACATGGGACTCAAACTCTCACAACCCCAAGATCAAGAGTCACATGCTCTTCCCACTGTGCCAGCTAGGCACCCCTGGCTATATTCTTTAACTGCAGCAGAGAAGACACTGGGGAACTCAGAAGTGATAGTAGGAGTCCTTCTGAACCAGGTTATGTTCTGAACAACAAAGAAAACCTGGCTGTTCAAAGGAACCATATTTTATTTATTTATTTTTCATTTAAATTTTAGGTAGTTAACATACAGTGCAATATTGGCTTCTGGAATAGAAGTCGGTGATTCATCACTTATATACAATACCCAGTGCTCATCATAACAAGTGCCTTCCTTAATACCCATCACCCATCTAGCCCATCCCTCCCCTACCTCCCTCTGTCAACCCTTAGTTTGTTCTTTATCATTAAGTTTTTTATAGCTTGTTTTACTCTCTCCTTTTTTTCATTTCCCCTTCCCATATATTCATCTGTTTTCTTTCTTAAATTCTACCTATAAGTGAAATCATAGGAGTATTTGTCTTTCTCTGACTTATTTCACTTAACGTAATACACTCTAGCTCCATCCATGTTATTGCAAATGGAAGATTTCATGCTTTATGATGGCTGAATAATATTCCTTTGTATATATAAACATATCACATCTTCTTTATCCATTCATTGGGTGATGGACATTTGGCATCTCTCCATAGTTTGGCTATTATTGATAATGCTGTTTGAATCTGTATTTCTGTATCCTTTGGGTAAATACCTAGTATTGCAATTGCTGGGTCACAGGGTAGTTCTGTTTTAAACTTTTTGAGGAACCTCCATATTGTTTTCCACAATGGCTGCACCAGTTTGCATTCTCACAAACAGGGCAAGAGGGTTCCCCTTTCTCTGTAGAGAAACTGTATTTTATTATTTTTTAATTTTTTAAAAGATTTTATTTATTTGACAGAGACTGACTCAGCAAAAGAGGGAACACAAGCAAAGGGAGTGGGAGATGGAGAAGCAGGCTTCCTGCTGAGTAGGGACCCCAGTACGGGACTTAATCCCAAGACCCTGGGATCATGACCTGAGCCAAAGCCAGATGCTTAACAACTGAGCCACCCAGGTACCCTGAGGAACTCTATTTTATTTTTTTTTTTAAGATTTTATTTATTTATTTGACAGAGATCACAAGTAGGCAGAGAGTCAGGCAGAGAGAGAGAGGAGGAAGCAGGCTCCCTACTGAGCAGAGAGCCCAATGTGGGGCTCGATCCCAGGACCCTGGGATCATGACCTGAGCTGAAGGCAGCGGCTTAACCCACTGAGCCACCCAGGTGCCCCAAGGAACTCTATTTTAAAGAAATTGTTTTTTATTGTAGTTACAGAGGAGGGAACTCTTGAGCAGAAGAAACTAAAAACTACCTTTTCACAAGGAAAGCACCAGTGATAGCTATTCTGAGATAATCTATCACCTTCCAAAAAAATAACAAAATTAGAACCATTGTGTCCCAAGATATTGTTAGATACGTTTGAAAAGAGTGCCAAAATACCCCTATGTATGAAGAAAACTGCCTTAAAGACATCAGAGAAGATTAAAATTATTATACAACATTCCAGTATGAGTAAAAAAATAATTTATGATATAATCACAGCTCTGAGGCAAGACTACATGCACAAATGTTATAATGATTTCAGAAATGGGGAAGAAGTGAGGGAGAGACTATAAGTGAGAGTTCGTTAAATACAAAAGTGAAAGAGGACATAGGCAGAATCACTTTAGAAACGAAGAACAAATAAGCACAAGGTATGACAAATACCACAGAAAGTGCATGGACAAAGAATACAGAAACTACCCTTTTACGAAGATGGCGCCAAAAAAAGTTAAGAGGGAAGCCCCTGCCCCTCCCAAAGCCGAAGCCAAAGCAAAGGCTTTGAAGGCCAAGAAAGTGGTGCTGAAAGGCATCCACAGTCACACACAAAAAGAAGATCCACATATCACCTATGTTCCCACGACCCAAGACTCTGTGTCTCAGAAGGCAGCCCGAATACCCTCGAAAGAGCGCCCCCAGGAGAAACAAGCTTGATCACTATGCCATCATCAAGTTCCCCCTGACTACTGAGTCAGCCATGAAGAAAATAGAAGACAACAACATGCTTGTGTTCATTGTGGATGTCAAGGCCAACAAGCACCAGATCAAACAGGCTATGAAGAAGCTCTATAACATTGATGTGGCCAAGGTCAACACCTTGATCAGGGCTGATGGAGAGAAGAAGGCATATGTTCGACTGGCCCCTGACTATGATGCCTTGGATGTTGCCAACAAAATTGGGATCATCTAAACTGAGTCCAGCTGGCTAAATCTAAATACAGTTTTTTTTTTTTTTCATCATAAAAAAAGAATACAGAAACTAGTGAGCAGAACAAAATAAAAAAAAGAAAGAGAGGACAATTATTGGAAGAAAACCATGAAAGTCAGAGATAATCCAACTTACAAATAAGCAGACCCCATGAAAGTCAGAGATAATCCAACCTACAAATAAGCAGACCCAAATCAAGGAAGGGAATATTAAAAACTACATTTTTAACATTAAAAATAATTTCCTGAGATAAAGCATGAATTTACATAATGATAGTATACTGCAGGGAAAAATGATTCAGAACTGAGTGCCAAAAATTTTAGTCTAAAACCCATGGGAAATCAAGATAAAAATATCAAGTTACCTATGAGAAAAAGGAAATTTAGTTGTTAACACTTCTCCACTGCTAAATTCAGAGCCCCAAATAGTGAGGTAGTTTCTCAAGTATACCTATAGGAAAATAAATGACAGAATCGAAGATTTTATATGCAGCCAAGCTGTCCTTCAAGTATAATGGATATAAGAAGTTCTATGCTGCAACAGCTTAGGGAGTATTAGTCACAAGAGTGCTTTCTAAACTACTACACGACATATTTCCACCTTAAAAGAGAGAATAGAGAAAATTTCAGAAAATTTTTGATTGTATCGTCACTTGGCTGTATATCTGATAAACTTCGATAAAAAGCTAATTTTACAAATATGGGGAAAATATAAAAAGCAAATGCAAACTAACAACAACAAAAAAAGCAATGGCGCCAGGGAGGTAGAGTTGGTTAAGTGTCTGACTCTGGATCTCAGCTCAGGTCTTCTCCTTAGGGTTGTGAGTTCAAGACCCCCACTGGGCTCAATACTGGGTGTGGAGCCTACTTAAAAATTTAAAAAAAGAAATTTAAAAAAGAAAACAATTTGTTTATTAAAAAAAAAAAAAGCAGGGACTATGATCTTGAGCATGCTAAAATACCAAAGCCTACGATTCACAATAAAAATAATGATGACTATCTAGGGACTCCTGGGTGGGTTAGTTGGTTAAGCATCCAACTCTTGATCTGGACTCAGGTCATGATCTCAGGGTTGTGAGATCGAGTCCTGCATCAGGCTCTATGTTGGGCATCGAGCCTGCTTAAGGTTCGCTTTCTGCCTCTTACCTCTCCCTCCCCTTCTCTCTAAAAATAATTATAATGATGGTGATGAAGATGAATATATATCAACTAACAGCAGCAACTTTAATAAAGCAGAAGCTACAGGTTATGTAAGATAAAACTTCATTCACAGAGTATTTTAATGCATTTTTGTCAAGCAAAGACAAATTAAGTGGAAAACAAATACTATTGACTGGCCATATATTAGATCACAAAGAAAATTTCATTAAATTCCAACATTAAAAATATCATAATGCGGGGCGCCTGGGTGGCTCAGTGGGTTAGAGCCTATGCCTTTGGCCCAGGTCATGATCCCAGGGTCCTGAGAGCGAGCCCTGCATCAGGCTCCCTGCTCAGTAGGAGTCTGTTTCCCCCTCTCTCTCTCTGCCTGCCTCTCTGCCTACTTGTGATCTCTGTCTATCAAATAAAAAATATATATATCATAATGCAGTAAAACTGGAAATTGCAAGCAAAGAGGGGGCCTATGTGCCTTACCTGAATTCCTCAACTTTATCAGGAAGGACTGAGTTCCCTTCTTGTCACAGTACTCAAGACCCCTTCCATAGCACTAAGGCTAAGACACTATACCAATATATTAGTTTTCTGTCACTAAGCAACAAATTAGCATAAACACAATGGCTAAAAACAATACAAATTTATTACCTCACGCTTAGGCAGTTAGGTAAAAGTCTGAGATGTTTTTCACTGGGCTAAGATCAAGGTGTCAGCAGGGCTGTGTTCCTTTCTGTATGCTTTAAGGGAGAATTATTTATTTCCTTATGTTCCAGAGTCTAGAGGCCACCAACATTGGCCCCCTTCCTTCAGCCAACAATTTTGTTATCTCTGATCATTCTTCTTTGATTCTAGCTCCCTCTGACTCTAAACCCTTGGGAAAGGTTTACTGACTTTATGAATCCATTGGGCCTAATTGGATAATCTAGGATAATTTCTCCATTTCAAGGTCCTTAACTTAATCTTGTTTGCAAAGTCCCTTTTGCCCTTCATGTAAAGCAAAATATTCACAGGTTCCAGGGATTAGGACCCATCTTTGCAGAGAGATGACTTGGACTACCCCAACGACCTTTAAAGCTTCTGTCCTTGGCTCCTCTCTCCCTGATGGATACTCAAAAATCCACCTCTTTCTATTCTATCACTTCCTCTCCAACAGTCTTGAACCCAATCCAGAATAAGCATCAATATTCCCTGTGTCCATGTTTATGTCCATCATAAGCCTTAGATTCCCTAATAATCTCTCTTTTCAGACACTCTACTCCCACCCAATCAGTTGGATGTACCCCCTTTTCAGCCCTTCCCCAATCTTGACACTTTTTAGTATGCCGTCCGGAATTCATAATTAATTAATAACAAATCCCTCTTCTATCTCCAACTTGCATTTCTTTGAATATTCTCTTCACCTTTGGGCCTAAGGGAAACCTGGCTCTCCCCAAAGGACTCTGCAGCCTTTTCAACATCTCCCTCTCCTACCCCACACCCCAGCAGCTTCTTGCCATTGGGTTTGGGGGGGGAGGGTATCATCCTTGTTCTTCTTACTTTCAGACTTTTCTCCTCCTAAAAATCTCTAGTTTGGAATTTCATGCCCTGAGATTATTCATAATATACCTCACTGCTGCTGACATCTATCAAATACAGGATATTGCTCCTTGTTTTTTGAAAACCTGAGCTCACCGCTCACTCTCTGCAACACTAGTACCCTCTTTTATTCTTGCAGTTGCACTACATCCACACAGATAAGCCTTGCTTACTCATTCTTACCTGTATTTCTACTTTTCCCTCTCTTGTGACTCATTATCACCAATATACTGCAACATTATCATTCCCCACCCTACGTTCTATTTCTCTGCTCATATTTACAGAGAAATTCTTGGGATGTGTTCTCTACACTGTCCCCTATTCCTCTCCCCACATTCTATATTACCCGACTCAACCCAACTAATGGCCACCACAGAAACTGCTCTCCACACATTTACGAGTAAGTGTAATTGTTACTAAACGCAATATTCTTTGTTTCTGGCTCCGCAACTGCTGCTACCACATTTACACACACGGTCAGGCATACAGTGGTGCAGTCACAATCATATACAAGCACAGTCACACCTGAATAGTCATGACAATCACCTACAGCTCCCCTCACCATCGGGCGCTTGCAAACACACACACGTACACGCCCCCAACCCTACAGCTCCTAAGCGATTACCCCTCCATCCCGCTCCCGCTACAATGTCGCACAAGCATATACAGATCCCAGCCTAATCGCGCGGGAGCGGACATACACATACACAGCTCCCTACAACCTTATTTCCCATACCCTCTTGGTGGCAAAGCCTGAGACTCAAAAAACATTAGTCCCTCACTGTTCACTGTCCTCCCCAGTGGCCTTGGCCCCTCACGGGTCATTTCACTTCTGAGTCTTAGACTCTCTTACCTGACCCTGCGGTCCCTACAAGAATGTTCCGCGGGCACTCGGGCGCAATGCTTCCTACGGTCCTGAAAGCGTTGGCGCGCGGACAGGAAGCTGCCTTGGCTATGGTGGACATTGGAAAATGTAGTCAGTGCCTGGACAGCCTTTCAGAGCCCAGAGCCGACAATCTCAATTCACAGGCCTTGGCCTCGGCAACGACCGTCGCCCTCATAACTGCTCACATCCGGGGCAGAGGGCTTCCATGAGTTCCAGGCCACATTTAGAACGCAAAACTCCACCGAGGCCTCCACGCCGCTCCTCCACAAATGTGTGTCCAAGTCTGGGAACGTGGACAATAAACCAATGCGGCCTTTACCGGAAGTAGCCTTGGACGCGATGGCCCCTGGGAAATGTAGTTTAGAGTCCTAGAACTACCTCAAAGGAAGGGTTAATTCTTCCCTGCTTGAGTTCGCTGTCTGGGCATCTGACGGATACGGCTAACAGAAAGGTCTTGTTAGTCAGTGCCAAGCGACCTGCAAGTCCTTACCATCTCCCCGTCTGAGCCTTGGCCCGGCCTGGCGGATATCTCTTATCCCACAAGCATTGACCTGGAGGTGGGATGAAGGGGCCCGATCCCAGGAGGGTCCCTTCTCTGCGAAGCCTTGGGAGCTCCTTTAACCGAGGTGTAGCATCCCTTACATCTTCAAACAAATCCTTTCCTTATTCTTATCTTCCAATTACCATTAAAGAGTTTAGTTTAAATTATTATTCAAGCTTACATTAGTGTTTTGCAAATGTTGTTCATTTCTTGGCCTCCCCCCCCCCCCGGAAGTTAATACCTGCCAGCTTTTAAAATTTGCTTCCTTTTCTCCGAGCTCATCCTTTAGATGGACAGTATGTCCAAACTTTCTGGAAGAGGAGTAATTTTTTCCAGTCCTTTCAAATTCAGCCTTTAAAAATAATTTTTGAAGATATTTTTTATTGTAAAATAGGTGCAAAACATATTTTTATTGTAAAATTTTTATTGTAAAATACCTGAAGAAAAGTGCATAGAATGTGTACGGTCAGTTCAGTGTATCTCAATACTAATGAAGAGTACATTGTTGGTATCTCAAGAAGAAATGGTCTGTGCATGCGATATTTCTGATCCCAGTCCCTAGCTGACCACTATTCCGCTTGACTATTAGAGTAAAAATATTGTAGAGGCCGCTTTTAGGCAATCAACTTGAACAATGGAAACCTGAGTAAGATAGAAAGGTCCACAGTAACTCCCTGGCTGAATACAAACAGGCCCTTCAGGAGACCCATCTGAAAAGAATCATAAGCACTAGCTGACCAATGGGTGGATACAGGTACCAAAAAAGAAAATTTCATACTTTCCATTACCTTCTCATCTTCTCCCCTTAACTACAGACCCCCAGCCCTGCCTCACAGCAGTCTGCTTTGCTGTCAATAAACTTCTATCTCCCTTGTTCTGCCTTGGGTGAATTCTTTCACTGCCTGTGCATCTGGCTTCCACCAGATTACCCCAAATTTGGTGGCCCCCATTGGGTTGGGGGACCCCACAAATATCTTGGTTGTTAGTTATCTATTTAGATAACTAAATTTCTTTGAAATTTATATAAAGTACAAATCAAGTTGTATGAATTTATCTAGCTAGTTGTTAAAACTCTTCATCAAATTAACTTAAAACTCCACACTAAAGGCATTGCCAAAGGAAAAGTGTGCCCATTCAGGGATGAAAACTATTTTCCTCAGTTACTACTGTGTTGTGGGACCCCAAGATCAATAATCCCTCCAAAGTTGAATGATTCACTAGGAGAACTCACAGTGAAACAATACAAAGCAAAATGAGCAAAGAGGAAAGATGCATGGAGTAAAGTCCAGGAAAAACCAGACGCATAGTTCCCAGGATCCTTTCCAAGTAAAGTCACACAAGATATTAATTTCCCCTGCAACAAGTTGTGACAAAACATGTGAAATGTTGCCAACTAGGGAAGAAGCTCATTAGAGACTCAGTACTTAGAGTTTTTATTGTGGGCTGGTCACATAGGCAGCTTCTACCAAGTGTGCATACCAGAATTTCAGAAGGAAAGCAGGTGTTTAATATAAACTGTGTGATTTGCACAAATAGGCATAGTGAGCCACTCTTATCAGGATAGCAGGACTTTGCTCTGGAAAACTAAATTCTAGATGCAAGCCAAGCACTAACTGTGCAAGCAAGCCTTCTAAGGATAAAAATTCTCAGTTCCGCTAGCTTAAGGCTTTTCTGCACACTACTGTCCTAAACAAAATGTCTGACTTTCAACAACAACAAAAATTTTAAGACATATGAAAAGACAGGAAAAAAAAAATCAAGATGCTCCCAAGAGATTAAAAAAAAGAACTAAACTTAGGGGTCCTTAGCTTGTTGCTGCATAACTTCAATCTCTACCTCTGTCTTCACATGGCCTTCTCTTGTATCTCTTTTCATCTTCTCTTATAAAGACATTTGAAATTGGATTTAGGTTACACACAGGTAATCCAGGATGAACTCACCTAGAGATCCTTAACTTAATTTCATCTGCAAAGACTCTTTTACCAAGTAAGGTTGATGAGGGAGCAAAAGGACAAAGCTGAGGACAAAGCATGAGCTGACATGGTCCCACCCCCAACTCCCTGGTGGGATATGTTGACATTCCTCAGGCACTTCTGGCTGCCCTGAAACTAAAGGAAAGGAAAAACAAATGGTTAACTGATAAAGATCTCAGTTCTTCAGGACATGAATTTCCATCAATTTACAAATGTCTTAGTGATAATCAAGAAAAATCATTCTTATCAATAACCTAACTTTAAGAGACCTATAACTCAATTTCCTGGAACCCTAACATCACCTTCCCCTCCACGAGTGATGTGGGAAACAGAGGCAAAATGGAATTTAAACAAAATTAAATTTCTTTATGACTGGCAGCCCACCAACAAATATTTGAGATAGAAAGTCCTTTTGGAAACCTCCCTTTTCCTCACCTCCCCCAGCTCCCAAGTATATAATCAGTCACCCCTCCCACTTGCAATGCATCTCTTTCTGCCACAGGTCCTGTCCCCATGCTTTAATAAGAATTCTTTCTTAGCCATTGATCTGGACCCCAGTGTTACCCAAAACTACCTCAAGGTCACATTCACAGATCTTGGGGTTTAGGATATGGACATACCTATGGGGTGCCACTCTTCAACCCACTACAACATGTTACTATGTTTAGTCTTACCCTAATAGATTTCCTTAGAATTCTCATCCTCTCAGTACTATAAATGATACCTAGGTACTGACAACACACAAATGTTTCTCTTTAACATGGACTATCTCAGTGTTTTAGGAGATTAAAGACAAAATTCTTTATCTACCCCCTAAAACTTGCTCATTCCATAGTTTTGCGTTTGTTTTTTAAGATTATTTATTTATTTATTTATTTGAAAGAGCATGTACCATACATGCTCATGCATGCATGGCACACAGAGGGAGGGGCAGAGGGAGAAGGAGAGAATCCCAAGCAGACTCCCTGCTGCTCCTTGAATATACAAGCTTGTGACCAACCCATAGCATTTATGTTTTGGTGTTTTCTCTGTTTATAAATTTTGCTTTATCCAAATATGTTCAAATGTTGCTACTCCTTCCTTTTGGTTTGCTCAAATATTTTCTTCTTAGTTAAGCTTTTCCTAACTATTCTATTTAAAATTGCAATTCCAAAAATAAAATAAAATAAAATATAATAAAATTGCAATGCCCAGGGTGCCTGGCTATCTCAATCAGAAAAGCATGCTACCCTTGATCCCAGGGTTGTGAGTTCAAGCCCTACATTCGGTGTAGAGATTACTTAAATAAATAAAAGTTTAAAAAATGTAATTCCTTTGGCACTATCTCATTTTTAAGCTTTCCTTCTCTCTACAGAGGTTACCTTTATCTGGAATGCTATATATTTCATTTACACGTTCATTGGCCACTTTCCCTGACTAGAATGAAAACTCCTTGAGGAAAGGAAATTTGGGCCATTTTGTTCACCGATGCTTCCCTGGAATAGAACCAGGCACAGATAAAGGACTCACTAGGTCACACTGAGATGCTAAATGAAGAAATACAGTGTTTGACCGGAACAGGAAATAGGCACTCTCATAAATTTTTTGGTGGGAATGGAAAGTGATTCATCTTATGTGGATTGCAAATATTTATACATAACCTCTGGCCCAGCACTTCTTAAAGGAATTTGTTACAAAAGTGCATGCACATCTATACAAAACCGAGTATATATATTATTCCAGAATTGTAGAAATCCGAAAACATACTAAATATTCACTTATATGCTATTAAAGTATGACACTTTCCCTACCACAAAACACAATACCACCATACAAAAGAATAATAAATATGTATTAATATGGGATGTCTTCTAAGAAATAATAGTGAGTAAAAAAAAACCAGATGCTTTATAGTATACTAACATTTGTGAAAAATAAAGATGAGGGGCTTTATATACATAGATATGTTGTTGTAAATATAGAATTACTCAAAGAATTTTACATACGAAACTAGTCAGAGTAGATGCAGATGGAGAAGAGAAATCGTTGAAAGGGATACTTTTTTCCACTATAACCTTGTTTAAATATTTAAGATGAATGAGATAATTCCTTCATAGACAACTGTGAATAAAAAAGGTTGGCTGAGGGACGCCTGGGTGGCTCAGTTGGTTAAGCAGCTGCCTTCGGCTCAGGTCATGATCCCGGTGTCCTGGGATCAAGTCCCGCATCGGGCTCCTTGCTCAGTGGGGAGCCTGCTTCTCCCTCTGCCTCTGCCCACCTCTCTGCCTACTTGTGCTCTCTCTCTCTCTCTCTCTCTCTAGTAAATAAATAAAATCTTTAAAAAAAAAAAGGTTGGCTGAAAAGAGAGCTAGGAGGAAAGCAGCAATCATTTCTAAGCTAGTAGCTTCAAGAGGTGATGAAAGTTGCTGAAATATGGCTATGGGAAATAAGAGATAATTGGAAATGCAGGTGTAAAATATAATCCTGAAGCTTTTAGTTATAGAAAGATAGAAAATGGAATGTAATAAAAAAAAGAAACTTCAGTGTGCAACAATACTAGTTTTGAAATACTAAAGATTAAAAAATTATTTATTTATTATTTATCAGAAAGAGAGGGCACAAGCAGGGGAGCAGCAGGCAGAGGGAGAATCAGGCTCCCCACTGAGCAAGTAGACTGATGTAGGACTCTGCAGGACTTGATCCCAAGACCTGGGATCATGACCCCAGCTGAAGGCAGATGCTTAACTGACTGAGCCAGGCATCCAAGACTGCAGATTTGTGAAGGACTGACTGCATATGTAGACTATGACAATGAAGAGAATATGGTCCTGTAGGATTACTTAAATAAAAGAGGGCACTGATAGAAGAAGAATGATGACAGAAGGATTCACA